GCGTCTCCAGCCGCCCTCCCCCCTGTTCTCTCAGCCGCAGACAGCTCTTGCGTCTCCTTCAAGACTCAGCTCAAACATCGCCTCGTCTGGGAGATGTTTCTGGAACCCAGGGCTGCACTCAGGAGGGGTTCTGTGTTCGGGCGGCGCCCCGCGCGGCCTGGCGCCATCTGCACGGCACAGGATTGTCATAGATGCATCTGCCTGGCCAGCTCTAGAGTGCCAGTTCCCTGAAAGCAGGCACTGAGTGCATACATCGCTACCAAGGCAGTGCCCGGCACCCGGCGGCTGTCGGTGCTTGCTGAATGGAGGAATGAGGCCGGGCGTCAGTGACCCCGATGGCACCCTGATCTGAGTGGTCAAGCCGGGGCCCGTAGCAGAAACCCCCAGCGTTTCGAACAGCAGGAAGGTCCAGGCTCCTTCCAGGCCGGCTGCATCGAAAGCCCTGGACACAGGCCCACCCCAGCTTGACTCTGACACATGGATCCCCCCAGCTCGGGGGTCCTAGGAAAAAGCACACCCCCGGGCAGGGCAGTGGCTGGGGCGGGCCAGGCACCACCGTGAGCACTCAGAAGGAAAAGCTCCAGAGCCAGAGGAGTGGACCCCTAGACCTGGCACCAGACAGGGACCAGGGTGAGCCTGAGGTGCCCCGACCTAGGGCCCCTGAGCTGGTGACACCTGGCTGCCTTGTCCAGTCTCACTGTCCTTCCCACACCAGCAGGTCTGCTTTCCCCAGGGTCCTGCCCTGGATTTGCCCTCGAACCTCCTGGATTTCCTCCTCCCTGCCTGTCTCCATACGTCCCGCAGCCTCCCTCTCACAGGACAACTGACCTCAAGACTAGAGGCTGCCAGGCTAGGGGACCCTTTGTGGAACCCCAACACTGGCGTCCTGCCAGCACCCTGAGAACAAGATGCCTGGCCCAAGATTTCCCGACCCCTTGATTCCTTGCCTAAATCGCCCTAATCCCCACTCTGCATGGGCGGCTTTGCAGGATTATGAAGCTAAGAGCTGCTTCTTCCCAGAGGGGATAACCGGGCATTCAGCTCACGAAGAAACAGTCTTCTGGGCTGCAAAGCAACCACCTCCCTTAGGTGGGGATCCTGGGACCTGCTGCGGGGCGGGGGTCCAGGACCCAGGAGTGTCGTCTAAGGCCCCTGGGGAGGGAGGAGGGAGAGAAGAGGGAGGGGGCGTGGGCCTCCACATCTAGGGGGCAGGTCCAGAGAGGGACAGGGCCTGTTCCTCCAGAACATGGCCAGGCCTTGCCCTGCCTGTGCCCTGCGGCCCAGGCTCACCTCCCTGCACGCCGCACCCGGGGTGAGCCCTTCCAAGGCCTCGGCCAGGCCTGTGCACAAGATAAAGCCTGCAGGGCTGGAGAGCAGCACCCAAGGCAAGGCTTGGCCGGGAGAGAGGGCAGGCCAAACCCCTCTTCTCCTGCACCCCATAAAGCTGCTGGGTCCAGAATGAGGAGCTTGGGGAAGGCAGGGAAAGGCTGACAGGCGCCCTCGGAGAGCTGCAGGGGTGGGCGGCTGTCCCTCCAGGCCACTGGCCTGCACACTCGGCGCCCCTCTGCGTGCCTGTGGCCACCCTGCCACTTCCAGGGACCCCCAAACCCAGGCCAGCAATGGACTTGTTCTTTCTGCCTCAGGCCCCCCCCCAGAGCTGCCACGCCCCCTCCAGGTGGGGGTGACGCTGGAGGACAGAGCTGGGGGGCGCAGCAGAGGCAGGAGGGTGCCCGTGCAGGGCGCAGCCCCGCATGCTGTGATGGTGTGTCTGGCCAGGAGCCCCGACTCCAGCCTGGCGATTAAAGAGGAAAACAAGCGCTCTGTAATTACACGCCTCCCGCAGAAGCGCCTGCCCGCACAAGCTGGCCCTGGGCGAGGACACGCCGGAGCGCCCGCTCTCCGCACCCGCCCTCCCCCAGCTGCCAGGCAGGCACCCAGCCAGCCAACGGGCAACACCTCGCCCTGTGAGTGGCTGGGGGGGCCCGCGTCTCCCCCACATGCAAGGAGCCCTGCTGGGGGCTAGGCGGGCACCTCACACTTTCCGAGTGTGCCCAGCAGAGTGGGGAGACCGCTCAAGGGCAGGGACGGTTTGTCCGAGAAACAGGCACCGGAGCCGAACACGTGCAGCCGGCGCCCACCGCTCTAGCCGGGCAGCGATGCCGCCCAGGCGCCCAATGGAGGGAGACTCCTCCTGCTTCCTGGCACCTGCAGGCCCCTCCCCACACACACAGCGTGCAGGAGGACTTCAGGCAGTCGGCCTGGGCGGAAGTCTCCACCCTAGAGAGCAGCGAGGCCCTACTTCTCGCTCAGCCAATGCTTTGCAGGGAGCACCAAGCCCAGCCCACTGCTCTGTCAGGTTCAACAGGGCCCAACAGCTAGGACCTGGGTGCTGGGCTGCTTCTCTCTGTCCTGCCACCAAAGGTGGACACTGGCAGGGCACGGGCGCTGGGGGAAGCCGCGGGTGGTAAAAGCACCATCCATCAAGTCAGAACCCAGGGCACCTGCCACAGGGCAGCGCCAGCTCTGAGGCCCGAAGCCGAGCGCCTGGTGGAGCTAACGGCGCTTCAGAGGCAGCAGGTGTCTCATGTGGTCCAGCACCAGAAGCCCCCTGGGCCTGTCCTCTCGACACTCCTCCAGGTGCCCAGCCTGGCAGCTGCCTCCCTTCCTACCCACCTGTCTAGAAGCAAGCCAGTCAGGGCGCCCGGAAGGCTCGGGAAGACAGGCTATGTCTGGACCTTGACCTCTGGCGACAACCACCACCAATAACCATTAGAACTGGCTGGCGGCTGGCTAGGCACCCCACCCCCACTCTCCCAACCTTAACGTCCAGTGCAGGTGCCAGGCTGGACCCCATCACCTGCCTCACCAAACACTGTGCCCAGGGTCTTTTTAGCAGCCCCAGAAAGTCCCCCCTAAGTGACCAGGCACGTGGCCATCTGCAGCAGGCGAACCAAAGCCCAGCAGAGACTCCCTCCCCCTTCCCTTGCTCCAAGGCCCCCACCCGGGTTGCTCCCACCCCAGTGAACCACATGGGCCAGTGAAAAGAGACCCTTGCTGTAGGGGTGGTGTCCAGGTTCGGAGTTTCTGCCTCCTGTAGAGGGAGACCGGCCCCCAGCACACCCCAAGAGGATGCCCCTCTGGCGACTGGGGCCCCAGTCCTACCCCGAGACCGGGAGCTGGGCTGGCAGCTCCCCAGACGCAAGGGCTCTCTGCTCCCTTCCCCAGCCCCCTTGCAGGGCTGCAGCTACCGCACCATCTGAGCTGCCGGCTCTGGCATCCCTCTCCAAGACCTTGGCAGCCTCAGACCTGCAGCCCCTGCACAGAGCGGAGCAGAGCGGGAGCCGGAGTCGGGCTTGTCACGCCCAGTCATACTCACTTTGCTGCATTTGCCCTGGTGGGGCATCCATAGCTCTGCCTGCTTAAAGAGCATGGTGTGAGGGCTGGGCAGAGTCAGCCTGGGGAGAGGAGTCAGCCTGCGGAAGTCCGGAGAGAGGCAGGGAGGCAGGAGGGAGGGAGAGAGAGGCGCAGGAGGGGAGCGGGAGGGAGAGGCGCGGAGTGAGTGCGGAGCTGTGTGCAGAGGCAGAACCAGGCCGGCAGCGTGAGCTTCAATCCGCTGATTAATTCAGCCTATTTCCAGTCACGCTGCAGATTTGGGGAGGGAGGAGGAGGCTGCTCTGCACAGCAGCCGTGGAGGGAGGAGAGGACCAGAGTGGGGGGAGAGTGGTTGAGAGGAGAAAGCCTGTGGGCGGCTCTGCCACATGTCCAAGAGCTCGGCCCATCCAGAGGCCACGGGGTGCACTGGGGTGGGGGAGACCTGCAACCAAGGGGGACGGAAGCTGGGAGGAGAAAGGGTACAGGAAATGGCTGCAGCGGAGCCCAGGGAGCAACTGCTGGTATCAGGGGTCCCCAGCCCCCTCACCACAAGTGGCAAGGCAAAATGAGAAGCCCAGAGGGGTGGGCCCGCCATGCGCGAGAGCACCCCCAAACCACTCAGTCTTCCAGCACGAAGCCACAGTCAAGCTGCAGGAAGCAGGGCCCAGGGGACTGGCGGTTACTAACATGCTGCGTGGGGAGGACTGTGAGTGAGACGCTGGGCGAGACTTCCAGGCCGGTGGGGCTGGGGGCCAGCGGATGCCGAAGGGGGAGACAGCTGGAAGGAAGGGCCCCGAGGGTTCCCACATCCAGGACCCAGTCCTTCCTTCCAGGTGTGGAGGGTGGGGTCTCGGGTCAATGTGAGAACACAGCTGCCTAACCCTGCTCAGGCCGGGAGACTGCGGGCACCCAGACCTCACCTCCCAGCAGCAAGCAGGTGGATGACCCAGCATCTAGTCCAGTCTGAAGGCATCTGGGACCCCAAGTTCCATGCAGGGAAAGTTCTCAGTACAGAACCCCTGGGCAGAGAGGGCCAAAGGCACCAGGGACTGCCGGGCAACTTCTCCTATTCCAGGGGCCTCAGCCCCCAAGGGAGAGGAGCCGTCCAGTAACAGCAGTCTGAGCAGGCGGCTTGGTCTCCCGGACAACAAGGCCTCTGCTGCAGGGGAGGGAAGAGAGCCTCGAAAAGGCCAAGGGGCCGCTCCCTTCCCCCTTTTCTAACAGAGCTCCCTGCGCCCACCCCCAAACCCAGGGCTGAATGGGAAAGAAAAGGAGGGGCCAGCAGTCCAGGGTGGAGGGCAGGAAGTCTCCATGAAGGGCCGGAAGGAGGGGTCAGCTTCCCAGGACAATCAGGCCATCAGGCCGCAGCCCTAGCAAACTGCAAGGGAGCTCCCGTCCCCTGTCCCCCACTCCAGATGGCACTTCTCGAGCTCTCTACCAAGGCTCTGCTCTCTGCACACAGTGCGACAGCCCTAGAAAGAACAGCTCCGAGGGCCTCCCCCAGGGGCCCGCAGAGCGCCAGGGCAGCCCTGACCCCGTTCTGTCGGCTTCCTACTTTGCCCACTGAGACCCGGAGAGAGGAGCCCTGCGTCTAGGGCGCGCACACGCCCCCGTCATGAAGGCTGGAGAGGACGCGCCACGGGGGGCAGGCAGACGGGCAGCAGGGCTGTCCCATGGAGCACAGGAAGTCAACCAGCCACAGCCAAGTCAATCCTGGGCTGCTGTGGGGGTGACAGCCACCCTTGGTCATCAGCGTCCACCAAGCCCGCGCGCTCACTCCCTCCTCCAAGAAGGAGGCTGCAGCAGTCACGGGATTATCTTCAGCTGCCCGTTTGTGGGACTCACAGGCCACCTGGGAGGGTGGGGGGACCCCATCAGGTCTGTGACTCTGCTGCTGGCACCAGCCGCAACTAGCCTGCGGGAGGGCTCACCCTCCCTAGAGCTGCCTCCCAGGCACCGCTTTCTGCCACACCCAGCCAGTGGGGACTGCGGCCACGCTGTCTAGATCAGGCCCCCCCTGGCCAGACAGACAAGGGAAGGATAAAGGAAACCTTCCACTCTGCCAGTGAAACCTCAGTTACTTTTCCTCTGGTGGAGAGAACCAGCCTCCTTGATCACAGGACTGGTTTCATGGGGGCTGGGGGGTTCAGAAACAGGGTGCAACCGCAGGACTGTTTCAGGGACAGTCAGCCCTGCTCCGGCAGCCTCCAAGCATCACACGCCATCCTTGTCTCGGGCGCTGCCCCCTGGAATCGCACGGGCCCGGGGAGCTCCCATATGCCCATCGTTTCTGGGTGGCCACCAGGGGAGCAGCCAGAGGACCTGTGAGCAGGAAGCCGACACCTCCACTGCTCCAAGTTCAGGGCTGCCAGCCTGCACCAAGGCTGACCCAGAGGGCACAAGGCCTGGGGCTGACGGTCAGGGGCCCCAGCCAGAGGCGGGGCCTGCAGCTCCCCATCGGGGGCCTACAAGATCTCGTGGCAGGAAGATCAAGTCAATAAATACTCTCTAAGCCCTTGGTACATGTCAGCCCGTGCCAGCAGCCAGCGACGCCAAGATAAAGTGGGACAGAGTGTCTCAACACGGTGCAGCGTGGGACAGCGTGCTGCATGGAGAAAGCGATGCCTAAACTGGGTCTGGAAGAAAGAAAAGCAGTGGTTTGCCCGGAAAGGGAGGGAGAGCATTTTCGGGCACCCGCCTAAGTGTGGTGCGGACGCCCACCCTCTGAAGCCTTCAGAATTACTAGGGTCAAGCCCGTGGGCAGGGGGGCCAGGGCTCTGGGGCGGGCGCTGGTGGCGGAGCACAGGCAGGAGCCCAAGGCTCTCCTCCGGACCGGCTCTGTCATGGCGAGATGGCCTCTGCGGAGGCCTGAGTGGCTGGGAGTGGGGGCTGGGTCCTGGCTGCTCACCTCCAGCTGATTCTGCAGCTGTGTTTGGAGTCTGACTGGGGAGCTGGTCCCTAACCACAGAGAGGGTGCCCAACAGGGCTCAGCAGGTTGGGGCAGAGCCCCAGCGAAGAGCAAACAAACGAAATTACACACCCCTGGGCAAGACTTGGAAGGCTGGCTGGGGGCCCACCCACGTCAGCCAGCGGGTGACCTGGTCCATGCTTTGACCTGTATTCACAGCTCCCCAGAGCCTGCTTTTTCCAGCCCAGCTGTCACAGTTCCGTACCCCAAACCAGACCTGCCCTTCTCCCTCTGGGGGAGGGTGTCCCAGGCCAGCACAGACACTGGATCAAGCCCCCAGGGTGGGATGCAGCCTACCACATGCTTCTCCTTCAGGTCCATGGGCCCAGCGCGCAGCAGGCATGCCCAGATGAATGCAGTCACCCCCAACCGGCAGGCTGCTCCCCAACATCGACAGACCCCAGTGACTTGGTCACAGTCACAGCATCTGGAGGAAAAGAAAATGCAGGCCATGAGTCTGGGGGGCGGGAAGGGGCCACCATCGTGGACCACACCGTAAACAACAGAGCTCTGCTTGGCCCAGCCAGCTCTGTCCTAGCCGCATGCCCTCCCAACGGGGTTTGCAGTCGGGGAGCCTAGCGGTCGGTCTTAACCCTAAGTTTCAGAGGCACTTCTGTCCTGTTGCACAAACACCCTTTTGCCTCCCCGTGGGCAGAAAAGGCCTTGGGCTGCCGGCTTTTTTACACAGAGGTCAGCATTAAGGGAAACTAGAGTGCAGCCCTGACTGGAAGGAGCAGGAGAGAGGCTGGAGAGCAGAGAGGAGGAAGGAGAAGCATGCTCATGCCCACACCTCGGCTACCCCGGGGTCAGGGCTTTGTCCGGTCCTACACGCCAGCACACGCGCGCGCCACAGACAGACCTCTCCCGTGTGGCTGCCACCAGGGCAGGGCTCAGCGGACACCTGGGCAGATGCCCGCACCCACAGGCTGGCCGACCTGACAGCCCTCTGAGAATGGGGATTAGCCCACTCCCCACGCCACACCCCTCCCCACACAACTGGACCGTCTCCATCCAACCTGGCAGCCAACACACCCGTCACTTCCGCCCAGGGCAGGTAACGAGTGATAATGAGTCATCTGGTTGGGGGCCAGATGAGACTCTGGAAAGCACTGACTTGCTGACTAGGGCAGTTCTTTGAGGGGCCTGCAGCTAAGCTTCTTTAAGAGGAGCTGGTCAGAAGCCCAGGAGAGCTGATCCATAAAAGAACAGTCTAGAAGCAATTAAAAAAAAAAAAAAAAAGCTGTGTGCAGGGGACCCCAGCCAGGAGGCCCAGGCTCTGTAGCCAGGAGCTCCACTCCGAAATTCCATCCAGTTCCTCCCAAGGCAGACCCAATGCCAAAGTCCCAGACCGCAGGGCCGTCCTGCCCACCCGTGCCCTGCCAGCTAAGGCTGTCAAAGCAGCGCTAGCCCTGTGGGCTCAGACACTGTCACACTGGAAGCAACCTTGCAATGTGATAACATTCAGTCTTTGGGGCCATGGGGTCCTAGGAGGCCCATTATTTTCTCTCCAAGGCCATGCCACCTCAGGTTGCCAGGCCCTGTTTACCAATATGACCCCAGGTCCCCATGATACCACGTCCCGCTGGGGCTGGGTGAGGTAGTTGCCACAGGGAAAGGCACCAGGGGCCAGAAGGAGATGGTGCTTAACTCCTTCTTGCCAACACGACAGTGAAAAAATGCTGTGGCCAGCTGGAACCACAGTGGTTCAGAGGGAACCAGAACCTGGACATTTCTCTAAGCCTCTGTTTTTCCACCACGCCATACATGGGATTCTGGGAAAGTGCTGTCTTTAACAGCCTGGTCAGAAATGACTAGCTCCATTCTTAAAGAGCCAGTTCTTGCTCCTGTCCCATTGTGTCCAAAGTCAAATACCCCCAAGTATAAATCCTGGCTCCAACATGTATTAAATGCCAGTGGGGCCCTAGTATATCATTTGTCCCCCTGAGCCTCAGTTTCCTGGTTCACAGAATGGGAACAATGATACCCATTGAGACTAGGGGTGCAACAAGAATGATATATTATATACAGAGGGTCCAGTACAGTAATTGGCAAACATGTCTTAATAAACAGCTGTTATTACTATCACCAGCAAACAAGAAATAGGTGCAAAGTGTCACCTATGTCAAAAATGGGACTCAGAAGTAAGCAGAAGAAAAACAAATGAAAGGTATAACATTGTAAAGAAATATGTAAACTTTTTACAGAAGAATAGGTTGTATAAGTAGAAAATTCTAGGAATTACAAATAAGATATTAGCACAAATAAGTGCACAGTTGCAAGATAGTCAAAATACAAAATATAAATTAAATTTCTAATATGATACATAATAAAGGAAAAAATTTAATTATCACTTATAATAATATTAAAAAACAAGAAATACTTAAGGTGGACTTCAACAAAAATATATTTAGGTGCTAGACAGGGCTGAGAGAAATGAAAGAAGACCTTAGTAAGTAAAGAGACATACCATGTTCATGGATAAGAATGTTCAATGTTAACATTAAATTTCATAGTAATATTTACATAGAATACTATACCAATGACTATTATTAATAATATTAGTATAATATTCTAATGTTTATAATATAATTCATTACTTTGGAAAACAATTTGGCAGCCTCTGATAAAGTTAAGTATACACTTACTACATGACCCGGTAATGAGAACATACATCCTGGAAAAGAAATGTATACAGGTGTTCACAGCAGCTTTATTACCAAACACTGGAAGCAATCCAATGTCCATTAGCAGATGAATGGATGAAAAAGCTGTGGTATAGCCACACCTCCCAGCAGCAAAACAAAAAGAGGAACCCAGACATCTAACAATAATGCAGAATCTCAAAAACACTTGCTGAAAAGAGACAGACACAAAAGCCTCTACAGTGTATGATTCCATTTATATAAAATTTAGAACAGGCAAAACTAATCTATAGTGTCAGCTAGCAAAGTGAGGGTTATGGGGGATAGGGGAGGGATTGATTGCCCACAAAGGCCATAGGGATCTTTTGTTCTATGTCTTGATTGTAGGTAGTGGTTACAGGGTGTACACATTGTCAAAATTCTTCAAACTATAATCTTTAAAAGGTACATTTTATTGTGTATGTAAACATTGCCTCAATAGAGTTGATTTTTTAAAAGGTGGAATCTGAGACTGAACCAATGTCTAAAGGCCTAGTACATGCAAGATTTGGTGGACATAAAAGAGAAGGGACAAAGAAACAAACATTTATCAAGTGTCTGTTACCCAAAGACTCACAAAGCCAACTTGCCTTATCAGGAAAAATCCATAGTGTTTTGTTTAAGCTCTTTATTCAAGGATTTAGTTTCGTTAAGGGTGAGGCACTCATTCTGTCCCCAACTAGTTAAGCAAACAAACACAGAGAAGACTCTGGTGGCCAAACATTACCTAAGGTTCATTAGCATAAATTTACATTTACATAATGAAATTCCTTCCCAAGGAAAGTGCTTGGGCCCCATTTTCTGTTTGTTTTCTTTTTAAATATTTATTTATTTGTGCATACAAGAACTGGTGGGGTGCCGGCCAGAGGTGGGGAGGTGAGAGGATTCACCAGAGACAGAGTGGGGAGCAGAACAGGTGGATCTATTAAAATCCATTGCTGAGGAGAGGTCTGCTGTGCTCTGTGGGTCACTCCCTGGCTGGGGATTGAACTCGTGCTGTAGTGGCTGCAGACAGCTTCAAAGTGCTGCGCTTTAACCCACTGCACCACCCCTGGGCCCTGGGCCCCATTTCTGATGATCCATAAAGAGGCTTGCTCTGGTCATGAAGCTATACTGCACCTGCCTGCACAAGCCAGGTTCCAGATATTCTACCCTCCCGCCATGTCACCCAAGTACCAATAATCTTACATAAAAATCCTAACTCCCTTTATGAAGGCGGGAGGGTACTTTGGCAGTGATCCCTTCGCTCCCTACTTGATTCAAGTAATTAAATTCTCTTTGCCAAGAATCTTTGACTTGGTCTGCTCCACTGGCTGGTGCCCACCAAGCAACAGTAACGTGCCTGCTGTGTATAACAACTGCAGGCAGATAGTAATTGTACAGGGTGGCCCTGTTTTCAAAGACGTTTAAGGTGTGGTCCTTCACTAGGAGGGTTTATACTATAGCCACTTTAGGAATATTATGCACAAAGATAATTAACATTCAAATTGGCACTGAAATATGAAATGAAATGGGCCAACAGGTACCACAGGAAGTTTAAGCGGAAGAGACCAGTAGGTGGGCACAGGACAGGCCTCCTGGAAGAAGTGAGGCCCAGGTGAGCTCTTCAGAAAGCAGGGAGGGACCCTGGTGCAAGGGGTTAAAGCACAGCACTTTGCAGCTAAAACCACTTCAGCATGAGTTCGATCCCCACCCTAGAGGTGACTCACATGGTGCAGCAGACCTCTCCTGACCCGCCCGCTGCTCCCCTCAGCAGTGTACTTCATCAGTCGGCCTGTTCTGCTCCCCATTCTGTCTCTGGGGAATCCTCTCACTGCCCCTGTACCTCTTGCCTGTACCCCAGTTCTGAATGCATAAATAAATAAATCTTTAACAAAAAAAAACACAGCATAAGAAGCTAAAGCCACTTCAGCATGAGTTCGATCCCCGCCCCGGAGGTGACCCACATGGCGCTGCCGACCTCCCATGACCCGCCTGCTGCTCCCCTCAGCAGTGTACTTCGTCAGTCGCCTGTTCTGCTCCCCACTCTGTCTCTGGTGAATCTTCTCACCACCCCTGCACCTCTGGCCTGTACCCCAGTTCTGAATGCATAAATAAATATTCACAAAAGAAAAACGCATCAAGGGGCCTCTCTGGTAGCGCAAGGGGTTAAGTCTCAGCACTAGCAAGCTATCAGCAGCCACTTCCATCCAGCCACAGAACTGACCCCCAGGATGCAGCAGACCTCCCCTGTATGATTTCAGTCAATCTGCCTGTTCTGCTCCCCACTGTCTCTGGTGAATCCTCCCCCAACCTGCACCCCTGGCCTGTAGCCCAGCTCTTGTATGCGTAAATAAAGAAAATAAATCTTTAAACACACACACACTTTGGGTGGGGGCAGGGTGAGGAGGGCATGATGGCTGCCCGGTGAAAGCAGGGCCAGGATAACTGTGGGAGCTTCCCAGCAAACATGGGATCAGGCGGAGGAAGCTGTGTGGGGGCCAACTGGGGCCCATTATGAGCCTCCCTTTCCATCATTACATGTTTTGAAAAATGGAATGGTCTTCTTTGGAAGGCAACAAGTTCCCCACAACTGGAGGGGTCCAAGCAGAGGCTAGGACATATTGGAGACAATAAATACATCAGGTAGTAAATCAAAAGTGCTGACTTTTTACGGCCTCTTGCGGTCCTAAAGACTATGACATTAAGAGAGCCAATTGCGGGCCCTCCCTGGTGGCACGGTGGGTTAAAGCACAGCACTGTGAACCTATCCACAGACACTGCAGCTCGAACTCAATCCCCAGCCAGGGAGGTGACCCAAAGGCACAGCAGACATCTCCTGTTCTGCCCACTGCTCCTCTCAGCAGTGGATTTCAGTAGATCTGCCAGTTCTGCTCCCTACTCTGTCTCTAGTGAATCCTCTCACCTCACATCTGTACCCCAGTTCTTGTATGCATAAATCAACCAGCTCCACTGGTAAGAGATGTCCAAATTAGGCCACTACAAGAGAACCGTTACAAGACTTCCACCACCCGACCTCAAGGTCTATAAAGCAACAGTACTTAGGCCAGGGCAATGTGGTACTGGCTGGTCTTAGGAGTACAGAAATAGACCCAGACATATGGTCACTAGCAAAGGCAATTCAGTGGAAAAAAAGATAGTCTTGAAGTTAACAAACTGTTCTTGAACAACTGAATATTCAGATGCAAAAAAAAAAAAAAAAAACTGCTCTATATTACAAAAATTAACTAAAAATGGATCATGACCTAAGTGTAAAACCAAAAGGTTTCTAGAACATGTAAGCAATGGTGAAGGACAATGAAGCAGAGGGACAAGGCTCTATGCCCCAAATTATATAGTTATGTAAATGACTGCTAAGTTAACTTTTGAAATTAATTTTAGAAAGAAAAATAGAGCAAAAAAATCTTTGTGCCTCCGGGTTTGATGTTTTAGATTCAATACCGGTCGCATAAACCACAAAAAGAAATGGCTGGGGATAAAATGGGAGGGAAAATTTTTACTGTATACACTTTTGGGCTTTTTGGTTTTCAACTCCTGTGAATGTACCAAATGTATCTTTTAAGAATTGCAGCCCCTCACTTACGAGAAAATAACCCAAAGAAGAGAAAAGAGGGGCCCGAAATGCTGTTTGTAGATGCACGTGGCAGCAGCGTTACTCACAACAGCCAGAATGTTGAAGCAGTTCTGTGTCCTTCACAGATGAACGGCTAAGCAAATTGTGGTATATCTATGTGGTGGAATATTATGTGGCCTTAAAAAGGAAGGGAATTCTGACATCTGCCACAAGATAAGCCTGTCACAAAAGAATACTATGATTCCTCCTATTTGAGGCTCCTCCAATTCATAGACACCGAATGTAGAATGGATATCCTGGGGGCTGGGGAGTGGGTGAACAAGGAATTAAGTGTTTAACTGGGACAGTTTCATTTTGGGAGATGAAGGAGTCCTGGGGCTCAATGTGACAGATATTGGTGACAGTTGCAAAACAATGTGAATGCACATAATATCACAGAACTGGTTGAAATTAACCATTTTGTGGTATTTATTTTACCACAAAAAAAATACAAAAACAAATCGGCAACTTTGATTCTGATTTTGCAGTAGGCTCTACCGTATGTTGCTAAGCAATATTTCCCTCTGTTCCATGTCAACTTTAGCATGTTTTTGCTGTTTTAAATATTTTTGAGTCTCCCTCAGTCCCTTTTCCCCATATCTTTCTCTTTACCTTTCCACTAAGGAACTCTGCTATTACAAATCTTTTTTTTTTTTTTTTCAAGAGGATTCTGAAGTTATGAAAATTGGTTTCATATCACACCAAGATCTCTACTTCCTGCAGGTCCCTGTAAGCCCTGAAAGAGTCTCCCTCCCTTGGAGGCCTCTCATCCCCACACACAGTTGGCCTTTGGAGCTAGGGTAACCCCAACTCTGTGCGATGCCCCCACCTGGTGCTGGCATCCTTGGTCTAATCTTGCCCTTCCCCGCCTGCCAAGCCACGTGACTGATTTACTACTGTCTCTGCCGCCACAGGCAAAGCTTATTATGACACCAGCCCCTGATCACCAGACCGCACAGTCTGACGGGCAGGGACGTTGGGGAGGAAAACATTCCTACCCGGTAGCTCACCCGCACTGCCGTCAACAGAGTCAGCCTGCTGGGAAGCCAGGGGTCACACAGTATTCCTCAGGGGCCTATCTTTTTGGTCAAAAAAGACACTGGTGACATCAATACTAACATAAGAAGATTTTTTTAAAAACTGACACGCAGTTACCAGTGGAGACGTGCCAGGCGTGACCTGGAAGCTTCTGGCTTGAACGCCAGGCATGCATTTGGAGGCTTTGGGTCTCCCCAAAGTTAGGGTAAGAGCTGGGACCTGACGCACCAGTGAGGTGCAATAAAACCTGGGCTGTAGGTAATATTTATCTTCACACTCCTCCCTCTCCCTGTGCAAACTGTTTCTGCAGCCCAAAGTTAGGGACAGTGGGGAGGAACCAGATTCCACCTCGTTTCTCCTTAGTTCTGCAGGGGTTAAGCTCTCAAAAGGCTGATTCCCAACACTTGGAGCTAACACTCCCTAGCAACTTCTCAAAATAGAAATGTGAAGGGCTTTCTGTTTTCTTCCATCTCACTGCCCAACCCTGGCCCTCCCAGTCTAATCTTTTAATGTGGGTTCACCATAAACAAGGGGCAGGCTCGGGGCGGGGGTTCAAGGGCGGTTAAGCTCCATTATTTGGCAGCTGATTATCAAGGGGGGTGGTTGTTCAACACCTCCCTGGCCTCTCCACTAGTCTATAGAGTCCAACTGTTTCTCAGTTTGTAGAACTGACGATGAGCAAGGACGGTGAAGCTAACACAGCAGCTAATGTCAGACTCACCCGCACTTGGTGGATTTGAGCATGCTAATCCCTGCCCCAGGGTTAATGAGTGTCCACTCTGATGTGTTCTGATCTTTAGAGTGATTTTCAAACTTACAGATCATGTTTATTTGACTCTTTAGATAATGAAGTTTACCTGGGCCATTACTTAAAAAAAATTTTTTAACTACCTCTTCGGAATACCGAGCTCAGCCTTGTTTGGCCAAGATTTTCATAAAAACCACTACAGTGGTGTTTCTTCTTTCTCCAGTGGGTCCAGCCTTTTTCTGCCTCCACACTGTTCTTACAAACAACACTTACAACGGTTCCCCCACACGAAGAGGCGACTTTGCTCCTGACTCAGCTCTTCCCCACCTGCTCTACAGTCGTGAATTCATGCCAGAACAGAGAGACCACCATGAATACTGAGTCATACAAATTATCGGCCTGCGGACTACCTGCTCATTTAAAATGATGAATGCGGAAACGTGTTCAAACGGTTCCAAGAGCTCGACCCCTTGCTGGCGACACCTTTACCCCATCTCCTCGAAGGCCACCGCGAAGGCCACCCTGCGGAGGCCACCCTGCGAAGGCCCAGTTCAGGATGGGAACAGCCGCACTAGGGGAACAAGGTGGCCCGAATCTGGACTTCCACACTCCCCACTGGCTCTCGCAGGGCGGGCCCTGGGTCTCTGCTCTCCCAGCAGTTTCTTTCCACCTCTGTAAGATAAAAACATCACAAACCCCCGCGTCTGTCTTCGCAGGGCACCCAGGGACTAAATGAACCGAGTCACTGAAGCAGGGTAACGTCTGGCGCACACGTCTCCTCCCGCACGAAAGCACTTACTAGGAGAAAAGGCACTGCAGAGCGCCCTCCCGTTCTCCCGGGCGCCACGCGGACGTGCAGGGGAGGGTGGGAGGCCGCGGCACGTGACCAGAGCAAAGACCGCGGCAAAGTGCCGCGGTGCCCACACTCAGGGGAAGCAGCTCGGGTTGGGGCGCTCGCCGCAGCACTGGGGCGTGCGGGAGGCGGGTAGGAGGCCGGTTTCCGGGCCGTGTTCCTCCGGGTGTCTGAGGAGCCTTAACACCGATTCTGGAGGAGGCAGCAGTGCAAACGAAACAGAAAAGAAAAAAGCGGGGCGAGCTTCAGGGCTCTGGGGGCTGAGAAACAACTACTCAGCCCCCTCCTCCCGGCCGGGGGAGGCTTTGGGCTCCAGGGCCCAGCCGGCAGGGCCGGGGCTGCTGGGGGGCTGTAACTACGCGAGGCGCCGGGAGCCCTCTGGGCCGGCCCGGCCACCCAGCCTCGACACAACTGGGACAAGGGTTCTTTGTTGGCAGGCGGCTTCGATTTCTGACGCGGGACCCCCAAAGGGCCCAGACAGGGCCCGGGACGCGTGTGAGCACCGGGGGCCAGTTGGGGGCTGGTAATGGCCAAGAGTTGGAGGCAAGAGCTAGACCCTCGCCTCCCCTTCCGCAGGGATCCCCGGAAGCCATTCCCTAGGTGTAGACCCCAGACCCCCCTAGACTCGACCAAGAATCCAGAAGACGCAGAAGGTCAAGCCGCACGCCCCTTTGCTCCCTTGCTCCCCACTTTCGGGCCACGGGTCTCCTAGTACTTACCGAGGCCCAGGGGCCTGTCTTCTTCGCCCGCGTCCTCTCCCCTCCCAGCCCCCTCCTCACTTAACGTCCCCTCCTCCAGGGGCCCGCAGCCATGTCCGTTACTGGCAACTCTAAGGGGGTTTGCCTCCCTTCTCGGGCAACGGAGGCTCCCGCGTTCTGAACGCCGATTGGTCAGAATCCGAGACGAGCGCAATTCCTCGTTTCGTATTGGCTACAAGGCGCGAGACACTGTAGTCGCGACCGCCCCTCTCGGAGCCTGGCGGAATTGAGAGCCAAGTGCTGGCGGGAGATCGTTCCTCCAGTGTCCACCTCTGGGCGGGATGCTCTGGCGCTTTCTGGCCCAGAGGCCCTGACCCGAAGCGAGGGCGCTCTTTCCCCTTCGATTAGATTTCCTACAGAATTACCCTAAAAAGATGGCCAGAGCGTCTCACCCTGTTTTTTCTTTGTTTTTAAAATGAGCCCTTTGCTTTCTTTTAAGCTCCCGTTGTCTCCAGGAACAAACACCTAACTACCTTGAGCCGAGACAGCGTAGGGGAACCCCCAGAGACAGATACTGAGTCCAAACCTCAGCTCGGCTCAACTCTAAGGGGAAAAACAAGTTAAATTTTTTTCGAGGTAATTGAGAGAAATCGCCTGGGAGACCTCTCTTGGGAAAACAAAGCAAGCCTGTGTCAGTATTCACTCCTGTTTTCCCAGAGATCTGGAGATGCTGGGGGGTTGTCATTTTCAGTTTTTGATCTGTTTATACAATGGGTGGGGGGTCATGGCTGGCCCTGGGAAATAAGAGGCCCTGCCCTCTATTAATGAATTTCATTAAGTCATTAAATTTTTCTTCTTCACAGCTGGACAAGAAAATGACATTTTAATGCCCAGTCTTGTATGTTTGAACTGTTTTAGTGGTTGCCTAAAACCCTAGTTATTTTCCTACCCACACTGTAACACAGACTATCTCTGCAAATACATAGACAAAGTCCAAATCTCTCTGCCCAATACTCAGAAGCCTTCATAAATCAGCCCGGACATAACATTTCCAGGTTTAACTCCCTACAGGCCAAACAACAGCTGCAGTCATGTGGCTTCACCACTTTCCCCAGAAACGCTTCCGGAACCCTCTCGCCCCTCCTTTGCCCATGGCAATAAAGCCAACATTCAAATACATGTCCATCCTAAGGATTCACTTTAAAGCCTACCTGCTTTTTCAAAAGTCTTCCCTGGCTTAGACTGAATCGCTCCTGGTATAGCACCGTCTCTTCTTTGTGTGTCCATTGCTGCGTTCACACAAGTACGCTTTGTACAGTTTTCTTTTTGTGAGACCTCAAGCTCCCTGAAGGCAGCTGGTTTATCCTGGAAGCCCACCATCCCAGCCCGGTATTTGGAGCTGTTTGTTGAATAGTGCATCGCCCGGATGGCCACCTTCCCACTCCACCCAGAGAGTGGGCATGGCCGCACTCAGAAAGTTCACCTGTTACATAGTCATTCTGCCCCGCTCTACCTTGTAGACAGTACTTCTAGCCATTGCGTTCTCTGCCTCATTGACAGATAAATCGCTCAACAGACTTGAACTGGGTTCCTCCAGTTCCAGTGCTTGTGCTAGAACCCTTCCCTCCCTGACCATCCTTCTTGTCGGAGACCCCAGCCACAAGCCTTTGCTGAAGAAGTAAATCAGATCACTCAAGTGAAAACACGCCAGTGCACCCTAGTCATCACCTTCTTTTTCTTTCCAGATCTTATGGCCCTGGGCCATGTCTTAGTACTGCAACCCGGCAGCTGTGCCAACCTTCATTCCCTGGAGCCTCCCCTTCTCCTCCCCACCAAGATGTCCTGATGAGGGGACATCTTTCAGTGGTCATCTCTCACTACTTCATCTACTCTATTCCCCTCTCCACATTCCTTTCCAGGGCTGTATCCTCAAGCCCGGCCCCCCACACCCACCCAACACCCTTGCTCCATCCTCACATGCAATTTCCCACCTCCAGGCCATAGCTCATGCTGTTCCCTGTGCCTGGAATGTCCTTCCAACCTCCTTGCCTCCCGGGTAACTCCCTGTCATCTTTTAAGATCAGGTTAGCTTGTCACTGCCCTGTTTTCACATGATTCCCTGTAGATAACTGTCTCACGTCACTTCCCACATTGTTTTATATCTCTGACAGGAAAAGAATATTAATAATGCATTAGTATCTGCAGTCTTTCTCTCCTTCTGCCTGCTGAGCCTGTTAGCTTCCTAGATCGATGCACAGTATCCAAATTGCAGGAGAAAGGTAGGTTTGAGAAGGTTGTGTCTGGAGTGACTGCTTTGCTCTCCCTCCAGGAGTGACAGTAGGTTACCAGCAGGTGAGAGCAAATTTTTTTTTTTATTTAAAGATTTATTTGTTTACGCATACAGAAACTGGGGTACAGGCCAGAGGTGCAGGGGTGAGGGTGAGAGGATTCCCAGAGACAGAGTGGGGCAGAGTAAGGCAGAACAGGCAGACTGACTGAAACACACTGCTGAGGGGAGCAGCGGGGAGACAGGAGGGGTCTGCTGTGCCCTGTGGGTCCCTCCCTGCCTGGGGATCGAACTCAGGCTGCAGTGACTGCAGACAGCTTCATAGTGCTGTGCTTTAACCACCAGCGAGGGCCCCTCAGATGGGTTTTGAAGCAGAGCGGTGGTGGCACGAGAGAGTGAAGAGAGGAAAGCCAGAATGGCGTGGCTTGGAAGGGAGTTGGAGGACATTTGAAGGGAGGCAAAGGAGAACCGTTAGGACAGAGATTGAAATACTCAGGTGAGTTGGTGAAATCCCCCCCCCCACTAGGTATCTGAGGCTCTGCAGTTATCTGGGTACTGACAATGAGGACAGGATCCTCCTTAGCAGACAGGAAGAGGGAGATGAAAAGTGATACTGTACGAAGGGTTCTCTTAAAGAATGTATGTAGCTCCCTCTTTGGCATTTTTTTTTTTTTACAAGACTACGATAAGCTTTGCAGTTTCCTTGCAATTATTTTTGGATACTGAGTCATATTTCATTGTAGATGATTCTGGTACAGATGGGAGCTAGCACCAGCAGGCTCTCACACCGCTGATAACAGTATCCGTGTGCGTCTCACTTCTCCCCAGTGAGTCCCAGAGCCCAGACTGTGTCCTGTCCGCTTTGTGCTGCCACTGATAAGCAAAACACTTAGCACACAGCAGGTGTCTAGTAAACAGTCACGAAAAAGAAACAGACCGGTACCCACCTGCCCTCACTCCCCAATATCTTTCGCTGATTCTTTTCTATTGAGCCTTTCCCCCATATAAACATTCATAGTTCACATCTCTCCTTAAAACAAAAGAAGGGAAGTGGTAGAGGGAAAGGAGAAAGGAGGAGGAAGAAAACGCAACATCAAATGGTCTGTGACGCTGCTGAGGGTCAAAAAGCTAGTGAATGAAGCGGCAAGAGGCTGCTCTCTCCCCGTGGAACATGCGATGGCAGCCCGTGTGGTAACACCTGGCTGCTTCAGCTGCTACGATTCGCTTTAGCTGCTACGATCAGCCATGAATCGCCGCTTCACTCGTTTGGTGACTTTGTGGACTGTTTAAGAGATATACTGAGGGCTGCCCTGGAGGCACAGGGGTTCTAGTATCAGGGCTATCAAGCCATCAGCAGCCTCTGCAGCACGAGTGTGATCCCAGGCCAGGGAGTGACCCCCAGGGCGCAGCAGACCGCTCCTGTCTCCCCACTGCTCCCCTCAGCAGTTTCAGTAGATCTGCCTATTCTGTACCCCACTCTGTCTCTGCACCCTCTCACCCCATGCATCTCTGGCCTCCACCCCAGTTCTTGTATGCATAAATAACTAAATCTTTAAAACAATGTTTTTAAAAAAGAGATATATGAAAGAGTCCACAAATGTCCCATGATTTTTAAAAACCTACTTAAATATTACTAAATCAGCCTGCAGTGAACTGCAAACTGCTCTTTGGCATCGCTCTGTTCTGGCTTACCCCCCAGCATGTGTTTGCAGTTCCCTGTATGTGCCACACCTGGAGCTGGGTGCTGGGCATATGGGTGAACGAACCCCAGCAGTTCCCTCCCCTCAGGTGGCTGATATTCTAGTGGAGGAGATAAGATCCTCAGTGAGTAAATAATTGTATCACTGGGGCCTCCTTGGTGGTGCAGAGGTGAAGTCGCTCACTATGAAGCTGTCCGCTATGAAGCTGTTACAGGGTTCACTAGGGAGGACAAGGTAAAGGGGCCTTACTCTCAAGTTGGAGTTCCATCCCCAGCCAGGGAGGGACCCCAAGGGCGCAGCAGACCCCTCCTGTCTCCCTGCTGCTCCCTTCATAGTGGATTTCAGTGGCTCTGCCTGTTCTGCTCCCCACTGTCTCTGGTGAATCCTGCTCCACCCCACACCTCTGGCCTATAGCCCAGCTCTCGTATGTGTTAAAAAATACATCTTTAAAAGGAAAAATAAGACTCCACTTCATCTGGATGGAGATAGGAGAAGTGAGTCAGTCAGGGTGACAGAGCAACAACTGGCTGAATGTCTCTAGACTGAGAACACAGGCCTCCCCGCCCCCTTCCGGAGCGGCCTTTGCCATTGCACGGTCCTTTCCAGCACAATCTCCAGTTTAGAGGTGACTGGAAGAAAAGGTTATTGTTTAAGTCCCTGGACTGGGAGGAAGTGTTTGTCCTAGTAACCTTGTTGCAATGTGCTTAGAGTCTCTGGGGACAGGGAGACCAGCAGGTGTCTGCTCAGTTCCGGAGTGACCACAGCATCTTCCAGGGTTCACTAGGGAGGGCAAGGTAAAGGGGCCTTACTCCCATCAGCATGGAGAGTGAGAGGCTTCTCTGGAGTCAATCATCGGAGAAGGGGCCCCCTGAGGCGCAAGGGGTTAAGTCTCAGCTCTAAGAAGCTACCAGCAGTTTGGGGAGGCACAAGGTTCAATCCCCAGACAGTGAGTGACCCACAGGGTACAGCAGGCTCTGCTGTCCCCCACTGTTCCCTCAGCAGCAGATTGCAGCCAATCTGCCTGCTCTGCTCCACATTCTGTCTCTGGTGAGCCCTCTCTCTCTCTCTCTCTCTCTCTCTCACACACACACACACACCAGCTCTTGTATGCATAAATAAATCTTAGGGGTAAAGTTTGGAGAACATTAAGGAAGCATTTTTCCTGATTGATGCAAAATAACTGTTAC